ATAAGCCCCTCCAAATTTATGCCCCACAAACCGGTAACGCAAAAAAAACTTCCGTGAAATCGCCCCTCCAAATATAAGCCCCCTGGGGGCTTGTACTTAGAAAATTGCCCTCAAAGTAAAACAAAGCCAAAACGATAAATTTACTTCCAACTATAAGGCTAGCCCAATCGATTTTGAAACGCAAATTTCCCTCCCTAGATAAGCCCCTCCCAATATAAGCCCCTCCAAAAATAAACCCCTCCAAAAGGGCCTTTGAAAAATATAAGCCCCGGGGCTTATTTTCGGAATTTTACGGTATAACTGGCCTTTTTGGAGCTTTTTTTTGTTTCTTTCTGGAAAAAATTACTATTTTAAAGAATTTTTTACTATTAGTGTTCAAATACCTAAAATTTAACTGTTTCATTTTACAAAGCCAAAAATGAAGTGTCTAGTGTAAGTTATTGAGGTACCCCCATTCAGATACTCTTTTAAGCCATTGCAAAGAAGTTCAAAAATCTATACTTAACGTGGGTAAAAGAAATGTTCAGACGGAAAAGCCTAGTACATTTGAACTAAAAAACATTAGAAAACAAATTCGACCACAGTATCCCCTAAAACTCCTTTTGAGGGAATACTGTAGACTGACTTGATCTTGTCATAGTCCCTGAAGGCGCTCAACTGTGCATTTTTAAAACTGGAGTTGCGTCAGCCACTCGACAGAGGAATAAAATAGCATTTCTTTATTCCTCTATTTTGGATCAAAAAAACCTTAACGGTTCAAGAACCCGCTTTTAATAAACAAAAATATATAAGAACCTGCAGCCAAGCAAGTCAATCAGGTTCTTATATGCGAGTTAGGAAGTATTCACCACGGAGTTTGGTTTTGAGATTGCAAATTTACACTTGATTTAAAATTGAAACTGGATTACAATGTATAGGTACATTCTGTAATTAGTTTTGTTACGCTTATTACAATACACTTGTGAATAGGTATTACATGTTTAAGGACCAAACCCAGGTTTATTAATTTCTATTTCTATCCTCTTCAAAGAAAACTTGACCTTATCAAGAACCTACAGCAGTATTTAGCCTCCACTACCAATAACTCATGATCCCAAAATACAGGAACATATTTTGCCAGGCTCCAAAAATGTGAGGCGGCTCGTCTCTTGTAACAAGTCCTAGTAATGGCTGAGAAAACATTGAAACAAACAATGAGCGCTTAACCCCGAAACAACAACAGTGCAAGTTATGGGGCCAGTAAAATAAGAGGTTGGTTAGAGGTGCGTGGCTACTGAAAAATGTAGCTTCAGTTCTTTCATGGCTTTTTTAAAATTATTTTTGAAATGTAGTCAACCGAAAAGAACAGACTAGTGTATCCCATTTGCCAAATATGATTTGTTTTATTGTTTTCAGCTCTAAAACAATAGAAAATTCCAGCGGGTAAATCACGGCTTATTATAAGCATATGTTAGATATAAATCTGTCCAAAGAAAGTGAAAAATAAGCAGGAGTTCCAAACGAACTCGCTCACGATTTAAGCGAGCCTGGAGTTAAGGCCACAACCCTTAGTAATACATAGCTCGAAAGTAGTTGATATTACAGAAATAAGACTAACTTATATTTTACTAAGAATAATGCCAAATACAAAGAGAGATCAGTGTTTACATTGCTTTTTGAATTGCGTTCCAAAACTGACACGGAACTGTAATTTCGTAGATACATGTATGTAGCGGAATCTCTGTAATTATAACGAACCTCCATACAGCAAAGTTCTCGGTAAAACAAACGATATTCTTAGCCCCTCAAATAGTAAAATGTATGGAAAAGAACTTCGATATAGGGAATTCTCTTTAAAGCATTTTTTGCCAGTACCTGTGGCCCTCGTTATTTCGGGGTTCCACCGTATAATGTTTGAGAAATGCTTGTTGTCATGTAGGTATCCTTCTTTGAGTAAAGTTATCAGTTAATTTGTTAACTGTTATAAATCTTGTTATGGGTCTCAAAGACTACTGCAGTAGTTTGCTCTTCAATACTCCTGCAACACATATTGGGACATATCGCTAAGACTCAGCGCATACAGAACTGTGCGGCCCGTTTAGTCCGTTGAACACCTAAATTCGACCACATAACACCTACCTTTTAAATTCGTCTGCACTGGCTTCCAGTTTGTTTTAGGATCAGCTGAGTATACAAATATTGATCCTAAATTTAAG